AAGTTTCTAGATGGAAACAGCTAAAGAAATGGTCTTGCTTATTTCTGTCACTGCCAAGTGTGGTTTTTCTTCCCCTTTTTTGCAGGCATCTTCCAGCCTGTCCAACCAGTACCTTGCTTTTTGCTTTCCTTACTGGTAGTTTCAAATATATTTGCTGTAAAGCTGTGGTGGTGAAGGTGAACAACCTAAAATTCAGACTTGTTTTGCTATAATCTTTAAATTGAACTCTTAATTTCTTCTCTTTTTCCTGATCCACCTCTGTTTGATCAGCTCTTGCCAGCAGCAGATTCTCTGGGGAATGATTCCTGGGTAGCTCCCCTTGACCCCCAGGTTCCTGCAGGCTCCAATGCAAACTGGGATTGCACCAGAACAGGGTGTGGTGGGAGGGCTTTGCTTTCTAGAAGCATCCCTAGAGGGGTCTGTCAGAAGTTTTTCCATCTGCTCCTAAATTCTTCCCTTCCTTAAAGCCAGCAAGTGGCTTTTCCACATTGAAACGAGCCCTTTTGGGATGAAGAATAACTTTGTGTTCTCATATTTATTGTATGTGCCAGAAGGTACAAACCCAGCGTAAGGAACATGGCTTTTGTTGCTGTGAGGGAAGAGCCTGGGATGAGCATTGGTTGTGTTCCTTGGAAAAAGGGAATTCCTGTTGGATAACAACGGACTGTGCTGCAGGGTTGGGTATTTACTTGGATATTTACTTTACTGATTTTCCCCTTGCAAAGCACTGGGGATTAACTTGGGCTGCAAAGCATCCCAGGATGGTTTGGGCTGGAAGGGACCTCAAAGCCCACCCTGTTCCACCCCCTGCTATGGGCATTGACACCTTCCACTATCCCAGGCTGCTCCAAGCCCCAAAATCCAGCCAGGCCTTGGACACCTCCAGGGATCCAGGGACAGCCACAGCTTCTCTGGGAATTCCATTCCAGCCCCTCCTTGCCCTCCCAGGGAACAATTCCTTGTCAATATCCCATCTATTCCTGCCCTCTGGAAGTGGGAATTCATTCCCCCTTGTCCTGTCCCTCCATCCCTTGTCCCAAGTCCCTTCTCCAGCTCTCCTGGAGCCCCTTTAGGCACTGGAAGGAGCTGAGGTCTCCCTGGAGCCTTCTCCTCTCCAGGCTGAACAATCCCATCTCCCACAGCCTTTCCTCCCAGCAGAGCTGCTCCATCCCTCTGATCATCCTGGTGCCTCCCCTGGACTCTCTCCAGCAGCTCCAGGTCCCTCCTGTGCTGGGCCCCAGGGCTGGGGCAGCTCCGCATGTGGGGTCTCACCTGAGCACAGGGACAGAGGGGCAGAATTCCCCATCCCTCAAGCTCCCCACACTCCTGGGGATGCATCTCAGGGGTTTTATTTCCCATCTGCTACAATCCAATATTTTTATTTATCTCCGCCTTTGTGCCGGTGGGTGTTCACAGCAGGGTTTGAAATCCAGCATTTTATGGTCACTGCAAACCTTTAACATAAAGCTTTCCACAGCTCAGCGCGGCTTCTGTGCTTGCTGGGGCAAAAAACTGAATTTCTTTGGCTTGTTGGGGGTGCTGGTGGCAGGCTGTGGTCGGGCTGGGGGAGCAGAGCACCCCCAGTAGAGCTGTGGGAGGTGTGTGGATGGACACCCCTGGCTGTGCTTTGCCCCTGAGAGGCAGCACAGCCAGGTTTGTGTGCATTGGGTGTACTTGTAGGCAACTTGTTCAGGTTCATTTTGCATGACTTCTGCAAATTCAAATGCAATTAGCTTCTTCCTCCTGTTGCCTTATTAATTACCGTGATGGACCTAAACTGATTTGGGACAGGATGTATCACAGAGGATTGTGCCCTCTTTTTAAACTCTTCATCAAGTCTCCAGCACATTTGGTCATTAATCTTTCAGGAAAACAGGGATGGCTTGGTGCCAGGCTGCTTGCTCTGGAGAGGAAAGATGGCAATAACTGCTTTCTACTCTGAGTGACCCTCTGAAGGCAGAGACATTGACTCCAGTGCTAAGTAAATATTCATGGAAACCCTTCTCCTTCAGACAAGCTCATTTGGAAGCAGTCCTGCTGCCTTACAAATATTGCAGGTTATTTTGTTTGTGCGTTGTTCCTATTAGAAACCCGAACCAGAAAGTACAGAAGAAATACTGTTGGAAAATAAGAGGTAATGGAACAGCTATATCTTGTTTAAAGCACTTATTTGCCGTGGCAGGAGTATGATTTTTAACCATTTAAAATATTTTTTATTCTGTATTACAGGGTAGATTCCTATATTCATGTGTGTGGGATAGCTGCTGTTTTGAAATAATGGTGATGATTAAGGAATGGTGTGGTTTGGAGAAGCACCTATTAGGGAATAATTGAGGACTAGGAGTTAATTAATGTGCTTTGAAGTTCATGTGTTTCTGGGCTGGTGACAAGGTGGGGATTGGGCCTGATGGTCTGGGAGGGCTTTTCCCACCTGGGATTGTACATTAGAATAAACACAATAGAAAAAAGCCTCTTTATCTGAAATGGCACCTGTGAATTACAGGGAAAGAAAAGCTAATAATAATAATAATAATAAAATAATGTGGAAGTTGCTGAAGGCCTGGCACATGCCAGTGTGAGGGGCTGGCAGGCCACAGTGCATGAGTAATTTTTCTGAATTATTAAGAGTGACGAATATTCTCTCACAGGGAACAATAGAGGAGCTCTGCTTGTAGCTCTGACGTTGTATTTTTAGTACCAACTCATTTTCAAGTATGTCAAACTCAGCTTTTTTTCTTGCTTTATTCTAAAAGATGGATGGAATGTTTCCTGCTGGAAGGGTTTGGAGCTCCCAAACTATGGAGGGTGGTTTAGTCTGTGGTGGCAGGGCTGGAAGGAGATGATTTTTAACATTTTTTTCCAGAGCAGTCCAGGATTCTATGAAATACTCTCATAAATAAGCAGCTGGCTTGCAAGATGGTTTTGCTCCTCCAGCCAGCACTGTTTAAGGGCAGCTGGAGGTGCTTTTCTCACAGGCTTTGTAGTCAAAGTCTCATCTTAACCAATTATCCCTACTAATAAAGCCTATTTTGCTCACATTTGAGCATGACTGAGTTATTATCCAGCCCTTTCCGTGTGGGTATTTAATTTTAGGATGCTCTGATGTGGCAGAGATGAAGCTGTGTTTCATTGATGTCCCAGCCAACATGTTTTCCTTCGTGATGATGTATTTTGTGGGGTGGTTAAAAGGGCTGGGATGACTCAGGAGCCCCTGAGCTTGCTCTGATATTCCTGTGTCGAGGATAGAGACTGAATCAGGTGGTTCAGATGTTCTGTTACACATCTGATATCATATTATATTACTATTATTATTAATATAATATTGATAATATTATTAAGCTCTTGAATTCCCTAAATTTATTCATATTGGGTCTATTTTGCTGCTTCTCCCCCAGCTAGAATCATAAAGGTTGAAAAAGACATTTAAGCTGATTTAGTCCAAGTTTTCCGGTTCCTTTGCTGTTGTTTGGACCAAATTTCCCAATTCCTCCTCAAATCCTTTCCCATGTTCAATTCCAACAAGAAGAGCACTGTTTTGTGCTGAGGATCTCTACATCCAGAGGGAAGTTTGACTTGGGCCAGGAATTCCCTACAATCTTTTTGGGTATTCTTGCAGCAACTCCTCTTGAAAGCCTGACTTTATCAAGGAGAAACAAAATAAATTTGGAGCCTTGGAATGAAATAAATGCCTGGAATTGGAAAGCAGGTTGACATGATGAACACAAAAGCTTTAACTAGGCTTTCTTTGGTGGGCAGCTGGGTAACATTAATAACAAGCTCACTGTTATGAGGGTTTGGGGAGGCTGAGACCAGAAGAGCAGTCAAGAGTTGAGTCAAGGCACGGCAGGGAAAGCATTGTCTGGCTTGGCACAGGAGGTGGGGTGAGGAAATGGGGTTATGCAGCACCCAGTCAGCCCTACAGATCCCCAGCTGTGCTGAAAGGAAGACATCCCCCAGGTGCAGGTTTTCCTGAGGGTCCTTATTTGCACACAGGAGGGGACGGAGTGGCAGTCAGGGATTGGTGTGCAGGCAGATTCCAGCTCTCAGGAATGGTTTTGTGGTGCCCTGAGCCTGCTTCATCCTTGGGCAGCCTGGTCCTGTCTCCTCCTGCCCCTCAGCAGGGTCAGTTCTGGTGGCCTCTGGTGTCCAGAGGAATGAGCTGTGTTGAAACAACCTCCAAACTATCACAGGAATAAAAAGAATCTTAAACATCGCTGAGCTGGCTCTGCGGTGGTGGAGCCCTGAGCTGCTTCTGACGCTGTGCAAGGACCGTGGTATCCCCAAGGCTGGGCTGGTTTGGGTCTCCTCAAGTCCCAGTTTGGCTCTTTTTCAAGAAGATGTGACCCATTAAAGTGTTTTTATTTGAAAAGTTTGCTTCATTTTCATCTTTCAACAGCTGAAACCCTCCTGACTGCTCAGGAAACTGCTGGCTGTGAGCAGCTCAGCCCCCAGGGTCAGGACTGAGGAGCTGCTGGAGGTGTTTTAGGAGCTTTAGTTTTGGTCTAGATCAGGATTTAACATCTCAGTTGTCCACCTGCACAAGTGGCTTTAGGAATTTTGTGCCAAATGCCTCCTGTAGCCAATATAATATAAATAAGCCAATATAATATAAATACTCAGAGAATCTGTGCAGCGTCACCCTTTGGTGTGCTCCAGTTTGTATAATTATTGGAAAATATAATAAACCAAGTTATAAATCTGCTACCCTCTTGTTTGTGCTTCCTTTCAGTTTTGTGTATGGATGATATTCCAAGTAGCTGTGTTTATTGTAGATGTGAAACTTGTAGCTAAAAGAGGATTTTGCAACTCTACGAAATCTATTTATATTTCAATGCTGGGCATATCTAAAGCTTGTTTACAAAAAATAATTGCAAGTTCACATCTCTTTGTTTAATTTACTTTGTGTATTTTTTTTCTTTGACTTCTCTGCACATTTTTAGGGAAAACACTGATTTTTTTAAATTTTTTTTTTATTTTTTTTAAATTTCTTTGTGCCCCAGGTCCAAGGAGCTAATAAAGGAAGCAATCCTTGACAATGACTTCATGAAGAACCTGGAATTATCCCAGATCCAGGAGATTGTGGATTGTATGTACCCCGTGGAGTATGGCAAGGACAGCTGCATCATCAAGGAGGGAGATGTGGGTTCCCTGGTCTACGTCATGGAAGGTAGGGCTGGGAAAGATCCTTTTTATTCCTTTTTTCCAACACTTAGAGACAAAAACTTTGGTGGGAGAAATGGTTTCAGAGAAAGAGACTGTCTAAATATGGTTGCTTAAAAATTGTGTGGACTGCTTTTGCCTGGAAAATTCTGCCTGGGTAAAGAAAGGAGGTGAAAGATGTTAACCCTGCACTGGAATAAACCTCCCCTAACCAGAGTTCCTGCAATTGGAGGCAATGGTTTGCTGGATAAATGAGGATTTTAAACAGAAGGAATGATGGAGATGGAGTGGCTGTGGAACAGGGAGAAGGTGGTCACAGCCTCCTCCCAGGTGTAAATGCTGGTACAGCACGAGGGGTTCTCCACAGGAGCTGTGCTTGGGAGGATGGAAAATGGTGTTGGTACATCCTGGGCACAAAGGAAGGGCAGCACCTGTGCTTGAGCACCTCTGCTTTGTCACAGGATGTGCTGGGGTTTCTTAGGGAGCACCAGAGCAGGGCTTTGTCAAAATCTTCTAACAGATGTTGCCGATGCTCTGCAAATCCCAGCTCCTTGTGTTTGGTGTTGTCTTCTTTCCAGGTTCTCTCACTCTCCATGTGTCAAACTGAGCATGTTTTGTGTATATTTGTGGTTTTTACTTTTAAGGCAGTGTGTGTCAGCTGTCAGAGTTACTGAGCTGGATCAACCCTTGTGTGCATCCAGCATCCCTCTCCTCAGAGCGGCTGATCCTGAGTTCTGAGGGAAATATCCCTGTTTTCCTTCCTGGTGTGACTTGGTACCACAATGGATAAATGCTTATCAAATTCTTCTTGCTCCTCTTCAGAACTATCTGGTGGACTCGAACATTTTGGCTGGATAACACCTAAGGGGAGTGGAGGTTTTTCACTTGTCCATCTATATTTTAATATCTTAAATTGTTCTTTTAAACAAAAATCTTTCCAAGGCAGTAAGCCATCCTTTAAACAAGTTTTCCTGCCAAATTCCTCGTGCTGTATAGTTGCAGATACTCCTCACTGGTTTCCCAAAACAACTTGAAGCTTCTGTCCTTTTAAGGTTAAGTCTTTTCTCAAGGCACAGGTTTAATTCCTCTGGTTTTTCATAGTTTTGAATTTTGCACATTTAAATGGTTTTTCTGTGAATTATGTGTTTCCACCCCCAGCACTGCATGGAAACATATAAGGTTTTCATGGAAAGTTTTAAAGTTTTCAGTCCTCTGAATACAGAGAGTACTTTGAGGTGCAGAATCTGTTCTGTTGATGACAAAAAAAACCAAAAAATGCTTTAAAATAATCCTTGAATAATATTTTCTTCCTAGTGGAAAAGTGGAGGATTTGCACTGCGCAGTTCTGTGCTGGCTTCCCAAATTCCCCCCACACCAGAGGTTTGCTTATGGGGTTTTTGCTGCCTGGCTGCTTTTGGGATGTTGTGTTCAATGCTGTCATAGGAAAAAAGCCCTAAGAACAGGAGAGGTTGGAATCAGGGTGTATTTCTCTCCTGCTCAGCCTCTTCCCTCTCCCTGGAGACGATTTTGGGGGGTATTTAGGGGCAGAACTGTTTCCAGCATGGTTTGGGGTATTGAGCATGGCTTGGTACTCAGATAACCCTTTACTGCAGATAGATTTTATCATATTTATGGTTATTATTTATCAGATGGCCACGTGGTGATGAGTGTGCAACAAATGTGTTTTTGTGTTTGCGTTTCTCGGGAAAACTTGAGGTTTTCCATGTTCTCCTGGCAGCCCTGTGTGTGTGAGGGCATGACTTGGCTCTTCCCTTGGCTTTGTAACTTAATTTAAGATTATTTAGATAGCTCCCTAAATATGCATAATGCTTTGCAAACCGAATTACGGAGAGTTTATAGTCTATGTTTAGACATAATGCAGTGAGTGATGATGAAGTCATGGAAATGGGAGAGGACATTATCAAATAGGTTGGGCTATGGTTATGAGAGCTCATTTTGTTTTATCATCCTGTGTCCTCTCAATTATTAACACAATAAACCCAAATAAAAACTCTGTTCTTTGCAAAACTCTACTGGAGAGACCCATCTTTGAGTATTATGAGAAGTGTTTTCTCAAAAATCAAATAAATACTGTCCTCCTTCCATTAATTCCTTTTTCCTTCCTTACTTGGGCTCTTGTTCTTCTCTGAGCTGCTTGTGAGAAAAAACAGAGCTTTGAGTCAGGAGCTGAAGTTGAAATTTCTCAGTATGCAGAATCCTGAATTTAGAGCTTCTTTGCTTTTAATAAGTCTAATAAGCTTTATTATTTTTTAATTTTTTTTTTTTGTATTCTGGGGTGACTTTAGCCACAGTCTGTGTCTTGCTGGCCAAATTCCCACCTCTAGGGATGTGAGGGCCCCTGGTTCAGGTGTTGGCCCCACCACAGCCTATTCTTTATTTATTTATTCTTTATTTTATTTATTTATTTTTTATTTATTTATTATCTATTCTCTGGCTTCACTCTGCCTGTGCTGTTCCTTCGGCCCTCTGGGAACACCCCTTGATTCCCTTGTGTTCAAAAAGTAGCAAGAAACCCCCTCAACTTTTATTAACTGAAATGGGTCAAGAGATTCCCTAAGCCTTGAGCAACACCAAAAATTTCCCTCCCAGCTGTGCTTTGAAGGTGGGAATGAACGGATTTGTGATGTGACAAGTACCCATCAGGGGCTGAAATTGCTGGCAGCATTAAACATCCCTGCTGTGCCCACCTCCAGCAGGAATATTCCTCCAGGCTGTGAGACTGGGAATGAAAAGGGGGATGAGTGATGCTCTGCCTTAAACTACTCCACACTGGAAATCTGGGCTCTGCAGGGAAAACAATTGTGAGAGGAAAATAAACTTATTTATTGGATATATTCCCTTTCCTGGGAGAAAGTTTGCTACTCTGAGAGGGGTCCAACAGAATATTTGCCTTCAAACTGAGAGTTTTTAGAGCCAAAATAAGTTCTTGCTTATTAATCATAAATGAGCCCGCTACCTCCATATTTATTTTTTTTTCATTAAGGGAGAAAACGTAAACATTTTCCAAGCAGTAGTTTTGCAGGTTTGCATTTGCTGACTTCACAACATTCCTAAAATTCTGCTGAAAGCACTTAAAAATGTGGCAGCCTGGAGAGGTGTTTTCAGAGAGCTCCACCTCAGATCTGGGGTGTTGACAGGCTGGAGCTGTGCGTGGGTGCTGCCTCACACTGATGAGGATAAATGTTATATCCCACCTGCGACCCCAGATGTTTCCTCTGGCTGAGCTGGTTGGCTGCAGGCTGTCAGGTTGGATTAGGGCAGGAAAATCCTGTGGAGAAATCAGGTGACAAGGTCCAGGATTGAGGCTCTCCTGTGTATAAACCGGTCTTCTCGGTGTTTTAGGAACTTTAGTAATACGTTGAATGGAAGAAATAGTTCAGTGATACAGGGGAAGGGGGAATTCCTTTGATTAACTCTTTTGTGGCTGATTTGTGTTGGCAGTGGGTGCTGCAAGTGAATTCTGAGGCTGCACCTCTGCACACACCCGGAGAACCTGAAGGAAGAAAAATCCCCTGTGTGCTCCTGCTTCTACTGGCATGGAGAGGGAAGAAGCAGCTTCTTAAGAAGCACGCTGAGAACCAGCCCACACTTCCCCCAGCCCCTGATTTAGTAGATTTCCCTCTCCTCTTAAATTTAGTTTTATTTTTGTCTTCAGTCATGGGGATTTGCCTTTTATTTTTAAAGGTGACTTTGTTTCTTGCTTCCTTCTTGGTAGTTCCTCCAAAGCAAGGATCTAATTGTGATTTCCCATGGGAACGTGGGTTTCTGGGAATCTTGGGAAGCAGTGTATTCCTAGAAACTGTGGGATCTGCTGGGACATGGAGCTGGGTGTTGATAAGGGAACACAAAGTCCATGTGGTCCTTTGAACTATGGAAACAAGTGGGAGGCCGTGCAGTCATCCCCAGTGCTCTGTTCAGTCTTGGTGTCACCTCCCTCTGACCCTTCTTTCCTCTCTTCTTATGGATCTGATTTAACAGGACTAATTCCCTTGTATGGTCTCGTGAGTCAGATCCTCCTCCTCCTCTCAGGAAAGAGCTTGGTGGGACTGATACTTTAAAATGAAAAAGTTGTGGAGAACCGAGACCGGTTTTGGATTTAAGGAACATAAATGACCTGAGGGAGGAAAGGCTGGGAGGAAAGGCTGGGAGAGCTGGGGGTGCTCACCTGGAGAAGAGAAGGCTCCAGGGAGATCTCAGAGCCCCTTCTTGTGTCTAAAGGGGCTCCAGGAGAGCTGGAGAGGGACTGGGGACAAGGGATGGAGGGACAGGACACAGGGAATGGCTTCCCACTGCCAGAGGGCAGGGATGGATGGGATATTGGGAAGGAATTGTTCCCTGGGAGGGTGGGCAGGCCCTGGCACAGGTTTGGCTGAACTCTATGTGGGCTGGGTCATTGTCATGCTCTGGGATCACACCTGGAGAGATGGAGCTGAGCCTTTGAGGTGGGATTTTCCTGCCTGCACAGTGTGGTTTGTCTTGTGTGCCCAAATACTGTCCTTGCTAGGCTTCCTCTGGGAAATTCCTTCCTTTCTGCTGTAGGACCAGGCAGTTTTGAGTGCTTTTTCCAAGTATATTCCTGATAACATTGCTAATTCTCACCTCTCTGCATCTCCCAGGGGCACTGTGGGAGGTGGTAACAACAGCATCCATTGCAGTCAGGGCTTTTCCAACCCAATCGAGGCCATTCTGCTTCCAGGATTTGTTCTGCCTCTCAGAGCAGGTGTTTTGGGCTCTACCTGAGCCTCTGAACCTGCTCTGGACGGGTCTGGATCTGCTGTCCCAAGTAGGTGTCCAAGACAGCATCTCCCTGCACTGGAGATTGGGGAGCAGTCACTCAGTGTCCAGAGGAGCTCCATTTGCAAGGAATCAACTCGAAATTTTGGCAGTGTGGCAGTTTCTGCACAGCCTGCCAACAAATCCCTGCCCTCCAAGGAGCCTGCCTTTCCCAGGACTTCCCATGGGGTTTGCGAAAATGTCCTGTGGCAG